CTCTCTCCACAGATAAAACCATCCCAGTACCAATTTCAGATATCAATGATAACCCTCCAGCATTTGAAAAACCTTCCTATGTTGCCTACATTCCCGAGAACAACCCATCCGGAATGTCCATTTTCCAAGTCAAGGCTTTTGACCCAGATCTGGATCGTAATGCCCAAATCACCTACTCCATTCTTAACAGCAACGTCAAGGACCTGCCTCTCTCCTCCTACGTTTCCATTAACTCTGAGACTGGAACTCTCTATGCTCAACGATCGTTTGACTATGAGCAGTTCAGAGAGTTCCAGATCCAAGTGCAAGCCCAGGATGGAGGCTCTCCATCTCTCAATAACAGCGCCACAGTCAAAGTGTGTGTATTGGATCAGAATGATAATACTCCCCAGATCCTGTACCCTTCACAAACAACTCAGGGTTCATCGTTCTTTGAGATGGTGCCTCGCTCAGCTGATTCGGGTTATTTGGTGACAAAAGTAGTGGCTGTGGATGCCGACTCTGGACACAACGCCTGGCTCTCTTTTCATCTCCTGCAGGCCACAGAGCCCTCGCTCTTCACCATCGGCTCCCACACGGGAGAGATCCAGACAGCTCGAGCATTACTTGAGAGAGACATTACGAAGCAGAGGCTGGTCATCATGGTGAGGGATAATGGACAGCCACCTCTCTCAGCCACCACTAGCCTGAACCTGGTCTTTGCTGAGAACTTCCAGGAGGCTCTTCCTGAAATGAATTCCCAACCTAATAACTCAGAGGATCAGTCCAACCTCCAGTTTTATTTGGTTCTGACTTTGATTTTAGTGTCCTTTCTGTTCCTGGTGGCAGTGATTTTGGCCATTATTATGAAACTTCAGAGGTCAAGGAACCCCACTTTTCTCCAGTGCTTCATTCCTGATTCTCATTCAAAGACGGGTGCCATATTTCCTCCAAATTATGAAGATGGGACTTTGCCTTATTCTTATCAGATCTGTTTATCCACTGAGTCCAGGAGAAATGAGCTGACTTTTCTGCAACCCAATG